ACATTGGGTTATGTATTCGTTTGTACTTACATTGCAATATAGAAATAACTGAGACTGAGTAATTTATTATAAAAAAGTTTTAATTGGCTCATGATTCCACAGGCTGTACAAGAAGCATGATATTAGCATCTGCTCAGCTTCTGGGGAGGCCCCCAGGAAACTGGCAGTTATGGCAGAAAGTGAAGGGGGAAGCCAGGCATGTTTTAGATGGCAGAGCAGGAGCAAGGGAGGGAGAGGGGAGGTGCCACACACTAGAACAGCACCAAGGTGACAGTGCTAAACCATTCATGCAGGATCCACCCCTATGATCCGATCACCTCCCACCAGGTTCCACCTCCAAACTGCGGATTGCAATTCGACGTGAGATTTGGATGGGAACACAGCGTTCTTCTGAGCCCTCCATATTTTTTCAACCTCTGCCCGTTACCCAATTCCAAAGTTGTTTCCACATGTTCATGTCTCTTTATAACAATGACTCACTCCTGGGTACCAATGTTCTGTATTCGTTTCTTTCCACATTGCTCTAAAGGAATACCTGAGGCTGGGAAATTTATAAAGCGTTTTAATTGGCTTATGGTTCCAGGATCTGTACAGGAAGCATGATGCTGACTTCTGCCCACCTTCTGGGGAGGACTTTGGAAACTCACAACCATGGAGGGAAGCAAACGGGGAGCAAGGCATCTCATACAGTGGGAGCAGGAGGAAGAGAGAGAGGGGGCAGGCGCTACACACTTTTAAACTACTAGATTTGGTGAGAACTCACTCCCTATACAGTACCAAGCTAAACCTTTGGTGAGAAATCCACCTTCATGATCCAATCACCTCCCACTGGCCCCTCTCCACTGCTGGAGATTACAATTCGACATGAGATTTGGTGAGGGGACAGATCCAAACCATACCAGCTTGTTTCCACCTCTTTACTATTGTGAATAGTGCTACTATGAACATGGGTGTGCAGATACCTTTTCAGACATGGTTTTCAATTCTTTTGGATCCATATTTAGAAGTGGGATGCTGTCCAGCATCTTTTATTCATGTACAGTCAGCAACACTTTCATTTCCCCACATTGTCTCTTCACTCACCTCAAACCATCTACTCTATTCTACATTCATCCCTTATTCCATTAGGGCATGATGAAAACATCTGGGGGTAATTCTCTCAACTTCCTCTCGCCCCGCACCTTCCATTATACCTGCATCCACTCACCCTTACCTTCATTTCCATCTTCCACTTTTTACAGCCTATGTCTTTCTCTTCTCATCCCTTTCTGTCTCTTTCGGGACAATTGTCCCTTCAGTTAGACCCTCTCTCATCACTGGCTTCTTCTTTCCACCTACAAACATCCTGAAGCCAAGACCTGCTGAGCTGCATATGATAAAAATCCATCTCACACTGGCTTAAACCAAAAATGAATTTTACTATATCACATGACAGAAAAGGCCAAGGGTGTAGTGGGCTTTTGTCGAAACAGGAATAGTCAAAGCAGGGCTTCAGGAATATCTTCTTCTGCTTTGCCTTGCTGGCTTCATTCTCTGGAAGAAACTCCCTAAAAAACTGGCAAAATATTTGCTGACAATACCAAGTGCACATCTCATCAGCTTAGAATCCCAGTACAAAGAGTGCCTCTTGTCCAATAAGTGACTCAAAAGTCCCTTCAGTAGCTCTCATTGTCCAAATAGGGCCACATGTACCCAAAGGAACTAATAACTAGGAGTAGGACAGTGAAATAAACAGAGGGCAAGGCCTGAGTTGCCTCCCAGCCTTGGAGATGGGTGTAGGGTTGGACTACCTCAGTGGCTCTCAGGTGGGATGATTTTGCCCTCCCAACGACATCTGGCAGTGTCTAGAGACATTTTTGGTTACTACAACTGGAGAAGGGGAGTGCTACTGGCCTCTAGTGGGTAGGGGCCGGGGATACTGCTGAACATCCCCCAAGGCACAAGACAGCCCTCCAGAACAAAGAATTATCTGGTCCAGGATGTCAATAATATTGAGGTTGAGAAACCACAGTCTTTCTGAATCACATTGAACTATAGGAAAGAGGGAATTTCCCAATGGAAAAATCTAGGGGCAAATCCCAGAAGAATGGACCCATTTAGAGCAACAGATAATGCACCTTCCCCTCTGTCTAAAAACAAATCTTCCCCGAAACCACCTATGTTTCTCTTTTAAACTGTCTCTCTACCACCAAATTTTCTGAAAGAGTGGGTTGACCTTAGCTGTCTCAACCATTGTAGTCATTCATTCAAGAAGTAATTATGGAATCCCTTCTCTGTGCTAAACATTGATTTAGGTCATGAGATTTGGCAGTGATGAACTGATATGTCCTCGTGCAGCTTTTATTCTGGTGGGAGAAACACGCAATAAGCAGATTTTCAGATGGTAATAAAATGAAAAAATGATAAGTATAATTTTTCATCTATATAAAATAGGCAAAAAGGAAAGGAAGTAGTGAAGTAATTGCAATTTTAAATAGTGGCCAAGGAAGGCTCCTTCAAGAAGGTCTCATTTGAGCCAAAGAATCAAGAAGAGGTAGTACCCAAGCAGAGAGATACCTACGCAAACAGCATTCTAAGCAAAAGGAATATTAAATGGGAGGGGAAAACTGAAGAGAAAAATATACCTGCTATGCTTGGAGAAATAATTTGTTTGCATGCTGATGGTAAAATCCAGCAGAAAGAAGGGTATAATAATCCTGGAGAAAGTGAGAATCGCTGATTTCCTTGAGTGAGTGAAAGCAAATTGAATCCAGGGCACAAGTGGAGAGATCAGCCTTAGACATGACTGTAAACAGTATCTACTAACAGGAGAGAAGGAGGGTACATAGGCCAAATACAAGAATTTGGGTGGAGTGATGGTAGAAAATTGGAGAGCCCTTTGATGGTTTCTATTTTCTCAATTAAAAAAAGCAAAGCTATTCACAGAGATTAAGAATGTTGGAGAGGGTGTCAGAAATAGATATCAACATAAAATATGAAATAGGCATTTAGGAGAAGGGGAGAAAAAATGAGATTAGACAAACAATAGTGGGAATATCAGGCAGAAGTATAATGGTCCATTTGAAATTATTTGTCACTAAAGTAAGGCTAGTCATGGTGGATATATGTCTTCTCCAGCCACATTCAGTTTCACGGGTAAGGAAGCAAAATAATGGAGAATTTATTCTAACCACGATTGTTTTGTCTAATGTCTATAATAAAGCACGAGAGGGGTGAGGGAGCTGACCGTGGATGTAAGATGGTGATTATGAGAAAGTATGGGATTTAACCTGGTAGGGATGAAATTGAAGACACAAAGGGGATGAGAGGCTGAGAGAGAAGAGCAGTAGGATCAATGGTCTGCAGGCACTGAGAAAGACAAAGATTGCTGGATTCAGTTTAATGGCACTGGGGTAAAAGACAAGAGTAGGATTGGTGGTTAGACAGTGGGATCATTGAAATTATCGAGGGTTGCAGTGAAGGTGACAAGTTTCAGAGCATGCACATGAGCATTAGTGTCGGAGGAGAGGGGAGGACAAGATCATAGACAGAGAAGAGGTCAAGGCACTGGAAGGCCAGGGATTTGAAAATACTATTGCTGTGAATATTGAAATGACCAGGAACTGTGGCAGGAGTAATAGTGGAGAAGGTGGACATGAGCTGGGAGCTAAAACCTTCAAGGAATAAGGGGAGAGAGTAGATACTAGAAGATGGATACCAACAGAAGTGGTAAGGATTGACACGTTCTGATAGCATGTGATGTAAAACTAGGGAACTGAGCCTTCTCTTATTCTCTTTTCCTCAGCCTGCTACAATCTGGCTTCTTCTCCCATTAATCTGTCGACAATAACTTGAAAGGATGATAGCAAATCCCTTAAAGAATGGCACTGGATGTATTAAAAAGTGTGATAAGTGATATGATCAAAGTAGATGTTTCTTCCAATAGAATATTTGGGAGAAAGCCTAATGGAAACCAATGTGCACAGAAAGGCAAATCTTGTATGATAGCAATCATATGTGGAATCCAAAAAAGCTCATCTCATGGAAGTGGAGAGTAGAATACTGGTTACTAGAGGCTGGGGAAGGGAGGGACAACGGGAGATGGAGAGAGATTAGTTAAAGGGAACAGGACACAGAGAGACAGGAGGAATAAACTCATCCTTCATTTTAACCCTCTACCCTAAATCTGTCACTCCTCCATCCGTATTTCTTATTACAATAAGTAGCACCGCCATTCATTTCTAATCCTGGGGCTAACTCTTGATTGCTTTCTTCTCACCACCAACCTTAAGAAAGGAAGAAACCAAAATCCAACACACGAGCGACTATTCATTCCGTCTCCAATATCTTTGTTGATTGTCCACTTTATCAATTCATTCAGGGCCGTCATCAAACCTCACTTGGATGTCAGCAAAAACCCCCTGACTAGTCTCCCCTCTCCATTATTGCCCTAATCTAGTCTCCATACTATACACAGATTTATATGTTTAAAATGTGATTGTCATTCCCTTTTTAAAAATCTTACAGTGGCATAACATCTCAATTCAAGATAAGAAAATGAGTTCTTCACATTCCCTGTTTGCTGTACACATCGCCTGCAATTTCTTCGACACAGAGAGAGAGAGAGTAGGCATTTCATTAGCTGACCGTCCCACACACATTCTTGCAAAGAGAAAACGTCAAGCAGGGTGTTTGGAACTGTTACACGATGTAACTAACAGCTGCCGTCACCCACCGCCTTTGTTTGGAAGCGCAGGGCTTCGCACGTGGGACCCGTCGGGAGCCCAAGCAGTGTCCAGCTCTGCGGTCGCACCTGGGTCCGCAAGGTGGGCTCTGTGAGCGAGACTCGCTAGAAACAATGCAAATGGGAGTAAACATGACCTCGCCCATTGAGGGGAAGCTGTGGTTAAAAGCATTTTGTCCCGGAACCCGCAGTCCTCCCCATATTCTGGGCGCGGAGCACAGCGATTGGTCACTCCTATTTTCGCTGCGCTTTTCCTATTTCAATTTTCTTCGAGATCAAATCTGCTTTCTAGATGTGCTTGGGGAGGATGGGGGCCTCTTCTCCGAGAAGTCCAGAGCCTGTGGAGCCGCCGACGCCCCGTCTCCCCTTCTGCTGCGGAGGAACCCCGCTGGCGGTTGTGGTGCTGCTCGCGCTGCCGGTGGCCTGGGGTGAGAAGCGGGCGGGCATGGGGAGGCGCCCGGGCGGACCAGGCACCCGGAGCGCCACGGGGAACTCGCGCTCTGCGCTGCGCGCCGTAGTCCGAAGGCAGAGAGATGGGTGGGCTGAGCGCGCGACCCGGTAGGGCGGCGGGTCTGGGATCCTTCTGCGCACTGGAGACTCGCTGCTTCTGGGTAAGCGTGGAGTTCCCATGTGCAGGGGCTTAAGTCGTGCCCAGCGCCGAGGAAGGCGCAGATGCTGAGCGGGTGCCGCACGGAGGTCCTTGCCTTTGCATATTCACAGTCTAGGCTGGTTATAGCCGAGGATGGCGTTGATCCTAGCGAAAGGGGAGGTGGGGATCCGACAAACCTGAGTTCTGGTCATAGAAAACTGTGCGGCAGGTTAGCACACCTAAGCCTGTTTGCTCTTCTGTAAAATGGGGACACTGATATCTCTGCATTGCGGAGTTGCTGCCTCAATGACATAAAGCCTTTCGAGTGTCTAACTCAGGGCCTTGCCCGAGTCCATTTCTATCCTCAGACCATTACCTCTTCACTTTGCTTCCAATGGTGTTCAGACAAGGGGTCCTAGGGATACAGGTATTACCTGAAAAGTGGCCTGCATGGGACTGTCTTTGTCACTCACCCCAACCCACCACCGCCAACATCACCATGCACCTGACTGACAGCCTACTTTAAGACAGAGCCAAGCCAGGCACTTGGGAGTTAGAAGGGCAAGGGAAGCCCCGGAACACACAATGTAACAGCTGCAGGTAGAAAGGAACAATAGATATGTTTACAGTTTACATTTTTAGTGATGTGTTTAGTACAAAATAAAGCCTATTATAACTACTATGGAAATTCTGAAACCACATCTCTTCCTTTTTCTTAACTTCAAGTAGGTAAACATCTTCAATTCGAAGCCTTCTATTGTTATTTTGGGGGCTCCCCAGAAGTCTTCTTGGTTGCCTAGCCTCACTGGAAACATGTCATTTGAAGGGACGGTATTGTTTGTTTTTGTCTAGCCTCTTCCTGACAATTGAGCATTCACCCTTCTCTGCCACTAGACATTTTGCATTTATTATTTGAGTGTTCCTTCTTCTCTAAAAGAGTAAGGAAAAAAGAAAGCCAAATTTTCCACAAGAGTTGTTATTAATATTTGATCTCCTTAGACACCAGAAAGTACCCTGTCAGGTGAAGAGATATGATAAAACTTACAGTTTTATTTTTAGGAGAGAAACATGCCCAGTAAGTTAAGCAATCGGTTGTGAATGCTTAGGAATTCGTGTCATCCTTGTGAGGACTGGCCCTCTTCTTACTAGAATGTTGTTTCAGTTTGCTTATGTTGATTAAGTTACCATTATAAACAATCCCAGACACTGTTAATTGCAAACAAAAAAATTTACTGAGGCTATCACAATAACCTCCAGATGTGAAACAGCCTAAACTACCTAGAAATTTTGTTGTTGAAGTAATTTAAATTTTAAAATGCTGATGGATGCTTCCATCGTGCATGACCTTTGCAATTTAAAAGAAGTGTAAGAGAAAGAGCCATGCGCCCAATGTGTATCCATACAGAAATAGGTGTGGAGTTTTATGAAATCTACTTATTAGGAAGCCAACGTGCTAGTTTTCCAGACTCTGTTACTTACCAACTGAAATCTTGGACCCAGCAAATTAAGTCACATGACTGACTTTCAGTGTCCGTGTGTATAAAATGAGCATAACTGACATCCTGATATCTGAGAGGGATATTGTGAAAATCAGGTGGGGAGCACATGTGACAGTGTTTTGTAATCTGAAAACCCCATGCGTGTCTGAGAAGCGATGACTAAGAAGTCATGCAAGACCGCAGGATCACTGAAAAGGGAGAAATCTCAGCTCCTACGATAAGGAAACGGTGAGGGAAAGGCATATGGCTTTACTAGTATTTAAAGAGTGAATCCAGAATCAAGTTGCAAAGGACAGTTCATTGGGGATATTTATTTCTGTACAAAAATAGCAGAGGAATTAGGATAGTTTTGTTATTATAAGTTATGCTACTCATGAAGAGGTATAGTGCTATTTGAAAGAGGATTTAGATTAGCTGCAAATAGATATCGCAAATGTGAGACAACCAATGAAAAAGGTGGGAAAAAAGTATAATTTGTATGCTGCTAAGGAAGAGAGAATTGCATCATATAAAGTGCTCAGTTAAAATAATAAGAGGGCCAGGTATGGTGGCTCACACCCATAATCCCCAGCACTTTGGAAAGCTGAAATGGGAGGATCACCTGAGGTCAGGAGTTCAAGACCAGCCAGACCAACATAGTGAAATCCTGTCTCTACAAAAATACAAAAGTTAGCCAGGCATGATGGCAGGTGCCTCTAATCCCAGCTACTCAGGAGGCTGAGACAGGAGAATCACTTGAACCTGGGAGGCAGATGTTGTAGTAGGCTGAGATAATGCCATTGCACTCCAGCCTCAGCAACAGAACAAGACTCTATCTCAAAAGAAAGAGAGAAAGAAAACAAAAATAAATAAATAAAGGACAGGAAAAGAATGAAAGACAAAAAAATAGGAACAGAGAACAAGAGAACAAAGTCAACAAATAGAAATCAGTAACAAATATTAAACCAACCATATCAGCAATCATTTTGAGTGTCAATGACCTAAATGCACCAATTGAAACAGATCATCAGAGTGAATTAAGAAACAAGACCCAACTATATATTGTATACAACAAGCCCATTTTAAATATAGCCAATATATATTTAAAGTAAACGGGTAGACAAAGATATATGACGCTAATGCTAGTCACAGAAAGCAGGAATAGCTGTGTTTATTTCAAGCACAGCAGACGTTAGATTAAGGAAAATTATTAGGGATAAAGAGGGGCATCATATAATGATAAAGGGGCCAATTCTGCAAGAAAACCTAACAATATCTAATATGTTTGCACCTGACAAAGAAACAAAATATGTGAGGCAAAACCCATAGAACTTCAAGGAGAAATAGATAAATTTGCGAATCATAGTTCTACATCTAGATGTTTTGGTTTTGTCAAGTTCTATGATATCTTTCTGATATCAGAAAAGATAAAGGAGCCGGAGTTTATCAAAAATGGGCAGATTCAGCAGGCAGAAAATCAGTAAGGACATACTTGAACTCAACGGCACCGTCAATCCACTTGGATATAATTGACGTATATAGATGACTTCATCCAACAACAGCAGAAGACATATTCTCCAGCTCACATTCATGTGGATAGACCGCATTCTGAGCCATTAAAAATAGTACACTAAGCTTTACCAGGTAGTGTTTAACATAGGGTGGACTCTGGCGCCCTCACCTGGTCCTCATGTAGGGTCTTGTTTGGTTATCACTGCTAAAGGAGCAAGATAGAAGGGAAGTTCCAACTTGCTTTCTCTGCTTTGTGATGTATTTTGGTTTACATGTGCTCAGATGAATGGATGTTTTATTTGTATTATCTGTTTTTATCTAAACTAACCTTCACATTTGAATAGGTAACATTAAAAATGTCCTACACTGAAATACTGGGTGGAGATCACTATAATAAAACCAACTCCAGAAAACAAGAAAATGGCAGAGTTGACAATCCCTCTCACCCTCCCTGCAAAGACACATGTATACACATTTTTTGTCAGAGGCATTAAGAGGAAGAAATGCTGTCGATCTAATCACAACCGATCAAAACTTGACAAAACCAAAAAATCTAGAAAGTATCATGAAGACAGTTGAAATAAGCTTTACATTCACTATTGTGAACAGAGAAACTCTGTGACTGTTCCTTGTCCCTTTAGATGTTAGTTAATGATTGTGTTGTCAAGATGATTAACAAAGCATTTAGAATGTTTATTATATTTCAAAAATTTATATTGAGGCATATAATTTATATATTTATGTACATATAAATTTATAACTATATTTTTTGAAAGTGCGTGCTCTCTTTTTTTCCTTTCTTTTTTTTTTTTTTTTTTTTTTTTTTTTTTTTTTTTTTTTTTTTTTTTTAAGGCAGAGTCTTGCTCTATCGCCAGGCTGGAGTGTAGTGGCGCAATCCCCCTCACTGCAACTTCCGTTTTCTGGTTTCAAGCGATTCTCCTGCCTCAGCCTCCCGAGTAGCTGGGACAACAGGCACACACCACCACGCCCGGCTAAGTTTTGGTACTTTTAGTAGAGACGAGGTGTCACCATTTTGGGCAGGATGGTCTTGATCGATCTCCTGACCTCGTGATCCTCTTGCCTCGGCCTCCCAAAGTGCTGGGATTACAGGCGTGAGCCACCGGTCTGGCTGTGCATGCTCTTTTTTTAGACTGATAGAGGCGCCTAAGCAAAGCAAGTTTTTTTTTTTTTTGAGACGGAGGAGTTTCACTCTTGTTACCCAGGCAGGAGTGCAATGGCGCGATCTCGGCTCACCGCAACCTCCGCCTCCTGGGTTCAGGCAATTCTCCTGCCTCAGCCTCCTGAGTAGCTGGGATTACAGGCACGTGCCACCATGCCCAGCTAATTTTTTTTTTTTGTATTTTTAGTAGAGACGGGGTTTCACCATGTTGACCAGGATGGTCTCGATCTCTTGACCTCATGATCCACCTGCCTCGGCCTCCCAAAGTGCTGGGATTACAGGCACGTGCCACCATGCCCAGCTAATGTTTTGTGTTTTTAGTAGAGACGGGGTTTCACCAGCAAGTTCATTTCTTAAAGAATATGCAGAATGGAGAGCAGAGTGTAGTTCGAGTTGACAGCTCATATTTGAACAAATATGAAAGTGATGATGTGTTAATCGTGCATATAGCACAGAATAAATTAACTTGCTTTGAATGAAAGATCTGAAACCGGAATGCATGAAAGTGGGCTGAGTCATACACAACAAAGCCCGAAATGAGATAACAATATAAACCCATTAAAAAGGCTACAATGGAAAAGATTGACCAAGCCAAGTGTTGGTGATAAGGTGGAGTGATTGGAATTATAATATACTGCTATTTGGCAGGTAAAATTATAATATTACCTT